CTGCAGGAAGTTTGTGTAAAGCCAGAGATTTGGATGAATTTTGAGCAGATTATTTCCTGTTCAGTGAACTTGTTATACAGTTCTCTGTCTGCATTATGTATTTCTATCATTTGTTACACTCATACAGTCTTTACAGTGGACATGCAAACAATCTAATACACACCTTTGCATAAAACTGTTGATTTAGCCTTATTTCTATCTGAGATAAGGTTGAAATAAACTGGAGGAAATAAATCTTTTAAGTGAAAAACAAACACATCTAAGAGGTTAAGCTCCAGTATGAAACAGAAGTTGGTTCATTTCCAGTCCAAACACAGTGTGTGCGTCACATTCACAATAAGGCTGAGTCATGGGAACCACGTGCACTTGAATATCAATTTGAATGTCAAATCATATGTTAAAAGCATCCTGCAGGTCACCATTGTAGCATTTGCATGAGACAAACAGAGCGCACATTGTGGAGTCGGTTCGGTTCTGTTGATAACGAACACTGAAGGAAGTGCGCGCTCCAACCGGCAGTCAGTGTGCGTTTAACCGTGTGTGTGTGTGTGTGTGTGTGTGCGCGCGCGTGCAGGGAGTCAGCCTGAGGAGACACCTTGTTTGTCTTCACTTTAAGGTGGGGCGTTTCTCCACAGGTGCTCGGCTCAGGTGCGCAGGATGAAGCATCCTCCCGTTATAGAAGCGTAACGCGGCCCCGGTGCGCCCACCATGGAGCTGATCAGGTGTATCGGCGGATGCGTGCCTTTGTTCCTGCTCGCCTTCGTGTTCGATATCGTCGGCCTCATCCTCCTCTTCGTCGGCATATTCGCCAACCTGCGCATCGACGACCGCTTTTATGGCGACTTCTTGATCTACACCGGCTCCCTGATCATCTTCTTCAGCCTGGGCTTCTGGCTCATGTGGTACGTGGGCAACGTCCCGGTGTCTGAGGACGACGGCTTGAAGAAGAGGAGCAGCATCGCGCGGCTGGCCAGGAAGCTGTCGGAGAGGCTGAGCCAGAAGCTGAAAGGGGAGGAAGGCGTAAAGTGTGTGGAGGTCGACGACTGCAGCCCGGTGGGGTCACCTCAGCGCAAAGCCAGCAGGGTGACATGGGGCAAATCCACAGCCTACCACAATGAGGGGTACGATGACTCTCTGGACTCCCCTGGTGTGGAGAAGAAGGTGGAGAGCGAAAAGGAAGAAAAGCAAGAGTTCTGAACCGCCTGATGCCGTGAATGGGTACCTGCATTTATACAACTGTTGCTCTTATATATAGGAAGCACATTAGCTGCACTCTGTAGAACACTATAGGAAGGATGCTGCTGCAAAGAATATTGTGGTTGTTAATAGATTTAACAGTTTCTTTCTCTGCTAAACTGATGTTTGTAGGCAGGGCTGTAGCCAGGATTTTAAGAAATACTGAGCAGCAAGGTCCCACAATGCACCCCCCTTCAGAAAGCACTAAAAAAAGAGGGTCTCCACATTTTCAGCAACTTTATGTCACAGGTCTGTAATTTCTGAACACTTCCAGATGATGGAAAAGTATTTGGTAGCCTACTATTTATAGGGAAATAGGGCAAGTGCTCTCTGAATGAATCAATCTCAGTTAATTGCTAGTGTGACCTACAGAGTCTTTGTGCACAGCTACATAAAAACATGTGATTGGTCTACAGGCAGGAATACAATTCAACGTGTATGAAGAATTAAGTTTCCATAAACAAAAGATTAATGAATGAATATGTAGTTGGCTTAAGATGGAGCAGATGGGGAAATTCCTATTTTCCTATTTCATTTTTTCATTTAACTGTTCGGTTGTATTTTTATAGATATTTTATTTCCAATCATCAAGGACAAAACGCTGTTTCTAAGTTTCTCCACGCTGTCAGCTGAGGCTGGATTCACCAAGATTACCAGAGCGGGGCTCCTGCCCGCAGGCCCCAAACTGTAAGAGGCCCCAGAGTGTCCATATTCACCATGTGGCAATTAGATTATGATAATTTAATTAATTGCAAATTTGTTAGTTAATATTCTGTTGACCACTGAACCACGTTATAAACTGAAATGAAGAGGACCTGAAGGCACCACCTTCATTATTCAGGTCTGAAGTTAAAATGATGACCTCTATTATTTTGGTTTATATTGTGCTCACATGGTGCAATTTAATAAATAAAAGTGTGCTTCATCAAGTTAACTTAAGGTTATAAACACTAACCTATGCACAGAGAATGGGAGACACATAGGGACTTTTACTGTTTCAGCCCAGGCCCCCCTGGTAGGTTAATCCAGCCCTGCTGCCAAAACTATACATCTTTTATTTTTGGTCCAAAAGTGTATTCATATTTATTGAATCTACCAATAACTGGAATGTGTTCGACCGACATGACCACCATGTCCTCGGTGTTAGCTATGGCTCTGTTAGTGTAGGCCTACATTTATACATTTTGCCTTCTCAGAAAGGCTTTTCAGCTTTATTTATTTGTTTCCACATGTTTCAAATACATTTAACATATTACATATATATTACATATATTTATATATTTATATATATATGGTGTAGCTGCTACCAACCAGAGTAAAGTCAAGTCACTGTTCCTGCATGATTTGCTGTCAAAGCAGCACAAACACTGGTCAGACTGGTTTGACTGTGTTGTTTTTGTGGTGTGTTGGATAAACAAACCTGAAAGTGTGAATGGAGAGCCTGTATAACACACAGGGTATCTACCAGGATGTCTGCACTGTCTCTGTTGATCACATTCTGGGAAAGGGTTCTCAGAAACTGATCCACAGATCAGAGTCACACCTTGTGCAAATGTCACAACGAGTTTCATTTCTAACAACTAAAACAGCTTCTAACAAATACAGAGTTGGCATGACTGACAGCTTAATGCACTTTAATCAAACTCATGTTACAGTAAATAAAATCCGCCGGCTCCGGTAGGCAGGACAGTAAGTCAAAGCCGCAGAGCAGAGACAAATAGTGGCAGCTTGACTGGTCAAACAAGGTTCTCACAGAGAAGTTTCCATTACGTGCATTTCCTCTTTGTAACAGTCACAATAGGTGTCATTATTGTAGTGGTGCATGAACCGTGGATTGTTAAATATTTAGCGAGAGAGCTTGAATGCAGTGTATCCACCCTGCAGAGCTAAGCTAAATATGAAGTGTAAATATATTTCCTGGGGTAAATCTCCGCACTCAGTGGGAGTGAAGTCAAGAGGAAGCTTTGAACGACCTGATAAAAGATGCAACACACTGATGCAGCCCTGAATCACTTTGGTTTCATTAGCTGAACAAAAAGATCAGTGGGGGCCCCAATTAATTATAGCAGGCTTATCGCTGTGTAAACACGAGCTCAGTGGCGGCTGATTAGGAAATATATGTGCATAAATCTGTCACACAGGTTACAGACAATGGGGTTGATGTGTCACAGTAATGACATGAAAGGTGCAAAACGAGTCAGCCCTGCACAGGAATGAAGATGGACTGTGGGGCTTTCAGCCTCTGCTAATTAGCAGCTCAACCTGTTGTTGCAGTTGGATACCAGTCTTGCCACTAAGTCTTGTGCTTAGAAAGAAATGTGAGGTGTGTTGTGAGTGAAAAACAATGCTCCAGAAGACACAGCAGCACTTTTCTGGACAGACTCGCCGTCACTCCTCTCAGACCGTCACACATCATCCGCCTGTCCGTGTCGCCCAGCCCAGCCATGGAGCAAGGAAGGGGCACCATCTGCTTCCTGTCGCTGGCTGTGATTATGGACGTTGCCGGCCTCATCCTCTTCTTTGTCGGGATCTTCGCACCTTTGAGCTTCTGGGACTTTTTCGTGCTGTCCGGGCCTCTGCTGATCTTCCTCAGCCTGATCTTCTGGATATTTTGGTACTTGGGGAACCTCAGTTTGTCCGAGGAAGAGCTCAACCTGAACAAACAGGACATACTCTGACCACAGCATGAGCGCAGCTGGACTGAGTCAAAGCCACTGGCCCGGCTGCTGGACTCCTTCACATCAGCAACGTGACATGAGGGGGAAACCGGGGGGTCAGGTTGAGGCAGAAGCTTCATCAGAAACCTGCGCCTCTCTGTGAACCCCTTGAGGTTTTGCCTCAGTGAAGGATATGTGATAACTCCAAATCCAGTCAGGACCAGGTACACATTTGACTAATCTCAGGAGATATAAAAACTCTATTCCACCCTTTGGCTTCTGGGAAAACAACTTGACATGTTGTTTATGGACAGCAGTGATTCCTGGACTTTATTGGAGTGGAAAGTGTATTTCTCAGCACTTTTATTGGAGGAAGCTTTTAAACACCATGATGATACTGTCCGCCTTATTTATCTCATTATCACCTATGTACAGTGTGAGTTGATATTTATATTTCAACATGTCCTTGCACATTCATGTAAGCTGAAAAAACTTTTGAAGTGATCAACTAAACATGCTTTAAAGTGACCTGTTGTTGTGTTCTTTGTAAGGCTGCTGCTCTGTAAAAAAAACTAGCCAAACAGGCACTGTAGGTTTTTGCTCTGGGCTATTTTAGTAAGATCCACCCAGTGCAGAGCCCAACAGAAAGAATAAACATGACGGTGTGCACGGAGATAGGAAACGTGTTCCTTCACGAAGCAATAAAGCTCCAGCGCCCGATTACACGTGCCACAGGGTTTTGCCAATTAGTAGTTTTCCCTTTAAAACAAACCAAAGGCTGTGTGAACCGCGCTTCCGCTTGTCCACCAGGGCGAGGGGGATGAAACCAATACTCCTCCTTCAAGCCCAATTCTTCCCAGCCTTAATCAGCACTCAAGGCACCATTAGCTCCCTCAGACATGGAGAGTGTTATTAATGTGTCCATTTGGTTCCTGCCCCTGAGAGAGGAAATGGAGGAGAGGCGTAATGGGGCTCTCTCGCTCTGCAAAGAGATGGAAACCCTGCTGCTCGGCCCCTCCTCCCCCCCACAGGACGCCGCCTTCTCTGTTGTGCTGAAATCCCCAAGTTGTCTTGATGGTATATGTCATTAGAATCTTAATCACAGCTATACCCATCAATGTATAATGGAGTTTCCCCTGAGAGGAGCGGATTGTAAGAGGAGAGCAGTCAAGTGTATACATCCTGGTTAGTTGTAGCTCAAATCAAATAACACAGCATGACGCAGCATATACTCTGCTCAAGGTAACGGCGAGCAGATACTGGGTTGTGAATCTCAATCATGTGGTTGGAGAGACCTTTGACTAATAGTTGTTTCCCATTAGCTGTGCCACAGTGGTTGCTACTCTTCCTGCACTGTAGTAAAACACAAGTACACAGAAAGTAAAAGAAACACACACGTATATCTTTCAAATGTCTTTAAAAAGGTTTTTAAAGTCCCCCTCCACTTAAAATGATGTTTGTGTTCTTGTTCCTACAGCTGAATGTTTGATCTTCACTGTGCAGAATGATGTTTGCGCAGAGTTTGACACTAGAAGGATGTTTTCACATTCATGTGCTGAAAGTGGAAAGTTTCTCTGTGCTCCATTAAAGGGCGGGGTCTACAAACATGATTTGTGACATCACAAATAGTCAGGAAGTCATCCTGGTCCAGTATGCAACTTATACAGTGTGATCCACCAGAGCGCACACACTGAGATGTCTTGTGTCCAGCAGATAAACTTTAAATTTAAATATTCATAGTTTCTGGAATTTGTAATGAGGTTAAAAGAGTAGATGATTTTTCAGGATTTTAATGTGAACATTATACCAATCTTTGTGGAAAAAAACCCATATTAGACACACATTATTGTTCCAAGCAGACTCTCTGTGTAATCTGTATTTATATTAACATGTCTGGAGGAGATCTTTAATATTTCAGATGAGTGGTTTCATTAAATAATCTGGATATGAGTTATTACCTGAAATTTGTGATCAATATAATGTATATGAATGTATTCTTAGATGAATATCGGGTCCAATATGTGGCTCATGATATAATCTACAAATGCTGTTATTAATAACCAGATGAATGCGGCTTTTGGCAGGCGATGAGGGGATGATGGCATGTTCATTACTCTGCTCTGTGTGTGAACACTACTTCAGCCTAAAAGCTTAAAATGGCTGGTGGTGAGTTCATGATGTCATCTGTGAAGGGCTGTGATGGTGCATGTCTCCCTCCAGTGGTGGAAGTTTAGAGGTTAATGTGACTGATTGTTAAGCCCTTCAGCTGTTCCTGACTTTAAGATGGGAAAATGAAATAAAACCATATAATCAGAATGACTGCTGGACAATATTTGCTTCTGTTAGACTTTGACTGCAGTTATTAGTTATTAGTGAGTCTGACTCTTCAGGAACTCGGATCTGCCCACAGTAAGATTCAGATTCATCTTTATTCAGAAGTACACAATGGTGCAGGAAGTGTTCTGTTTCATTTATATTTATAACAATAATACACTTTAATATAATTCATAAGGGCTTTATTGGCGTGGGAAACAGATGTTTACATTTCCAAAGCAAGTGTAAAATATATTATATACAGATTTGTAATAAAATCTATATTAATAATAACTTAAAATAATTTAGAGAAAAATGAAAAGCAGACTTATATTTATGTATACAGTTAGAAAGTACCTTCCATGGCTGGAACCAGGATTAAAAACATTCCAGGAGGAAATAAGGTAGAATAAAGTCAGAAATAAAATCACACAGAAGTGAGGTAAAAACAATAAACCAACAATAAAACAGAAAAACATATCGCAAAACTAACGACACTGGGGCAAACAGTTTTAAACAATTAAAAGATACTACATTGCAGCGGATCAGTCGCTCCACCGAGAAGGTGATCGGCTGCAATCGGCCATGCCTCCTGGACCTGTACCCCTCCAGGACCCTGAGGACCCTGAGGACCCTGAGGACCCCTCCCACCCCGGACACAAAGGCCGGGACCCCCACTGACACTGGCTAAACCCAGCCTGTGTATATGCTTTACATTAATGCACTTGTGTTGGTGGTTTTATCTTGCACATTGCACAGATATATATGTCACACTGCTAACTTGCAGACTTCCTGGTCGATTTGTTTTTTGCACACTTCTGCACAGCTCTTTACTCTTTTATTTAAAGTATGCGGCCATTGTGTACATATTCTCTCACTCTTTATATTTGTATAAAGTGGCTCCTTTTTATTGTATGTACCAAGGTAAATTCCTCGTCTGTGAAAACTTACTTGGCAATAAACCTGATTCTGATTCTGATTAAGAAGTGATTTAAAAGATGTCAGTGATTTAGCAAACCTTAGACCGAGTCGGACATCGTATGTTATGGTTTCTTTATATGAATTATATTGAATTTGAATTTCTCCTAGGGGGGATCAAAAAAAGAAACATCTTATTTTATCTTATATGGTTTGTAAAAATGTTCAGCTGAAGTAACGACAGCTGTCAGATAATGACATTAAAGTCTCCCTCTGACATGTAGAGTAGAACTATTAAAGACATTAAAACAAAGGATTCGAGTAACGTACAAGCACCTCAAATATGTACTTGAGTAAATGTACTTCGTTACATTCCAACATTTTAATAACATTGACAGTTTAGGACAAAGATTATATTATCTGGGCGCCTGGTTACGCCAGGGGGGTTCGAATCCGACCTGCGGCCCTTTGCTGTGTGTCATGCCCTCTCTCTGCCCCCCTTTCTGTCCATCTTCAGCTGTCACTATAATAAAGGCAATAAAAGCCCCAAAAAATACCTTTAAAAAAAAAGATGATATTATCTGACAGGATTATTCAGACACCTTTACACCACACACAAGTCTTCCTGTTTTACTATAAAGACCAGAAATTGGTGCGCACATGACAGAAGAGACGTTGATTTTAATGGTATGGACAAAAAATATAAATTTTAGCTCAATGCAATGTTCAGCTTTATGGTTGTAACAAAGAATCCATTTAAATGTTTAAATGATTAATCTGCCTGTTTCCTACTTTTTACTCTTGTGATTGTAAAAAAATGTATTTTTTTTAAAAAGAGCCTGTATGAAGTCCCTATAGAGCCACACTGGTGTGTTCAAAGGTCTCATTTTATGTGACAAAAATAACACACATTTAATTGTACAGTTATTACAAACAGATAATTTATCACATTTTAGAAGCTAGAAATAAAGACGTAAACATTGTTGCCTTCATTAACAGCTGTTCATTGCAGCTCTGTAAAGATTTCCCAACCTTAGAGCCTCAGTGACTAATATAAGTCGTATAAAGAGCCAAAGCACATCACATTCAACCTTTTGTATGTTTTATTATTTCCACAAAGAGGAACGGACATATTCAGTATTGTGAGTAATCTCACTGATTTTCTCTATTTCGACCATTTTTATGTCTTCACAAATTTAAAACTGTTTCCAGAGCAGTGTTTCTGGGCATTGCTAGTAATAATATTACAGTAATAACATTACTTTTCCCAGTAACTAGTAGTGTAACTAATACATTTCAGTAATAACATTACAGTTACCCCCCGTATCTGGATTCATTTTTTAATTGTGGAGGAAACTATATCCCATTAGTTTGATTTTAACAAACAAAACTGGATTTTAAAGTTTGAATTTTGAGGAGAAAAAGACACAATTACCAATTTTGGTGAAGCGTAGCAGAAAAGTAATATAACTAGTAGTGTAACTAACTACTGTTGGCACAATATTACTTTAATAAATTTTTTTTGTAATAAGATCATTATTCTGATGTTGATTCTACCTCCGTGCTGCATTCAATGACAAACAGTTAACGCCTGATCATTAGTTTTTACACCCTGTCAGAGGTGTTACTGTCTGCTAGGGCCCACACACACACACACACACACACACACACACAGTCCCTCAGTGTTTACAAACAAGTGGCCTACAGATGGCAGGGTCACTCACCACCCCCACCCCCCCTCATGATAACAAGGCCTGCAGACAGCCCTGCTGGAGGTGCAGGACCACAACCTGCAGCTCCAGCAGGGCAACGTGAAGCCTGTCTGCCTGTCTGTCTGTCTGTCTGTCTGCCTGTCTGCCTGTCCTGATCACTTCCCAGATATCCGACCTCATCATTACAGAGTAGCGGGGATGGTGCAAAGGGGGCAACGCGCCAAAACCAGGCATGGATTCCGTAGTGGAGGTGGAGGGGGAGGAGCACCGTGCACCGTGAGACCGACAGGAGCCCGGATCCCTGCAGAACGATCACAAACACGTGGTTGTTTCTCGGTTTTAAATGTTAGAAACAGCCGGTGGTGTGGATGCACGCGCTCACAGGTTGATCGATCACCCTTTCCGCTGTGGTGATTACTGAGAGTGACTGCACGTGTACACCCGGTCGCTCCCTTCCTCTTTCCTGTGTGGGGTTTAAATAAAAAAAAAAAAACTTAAAAAAGGACAAAAACGTGCACTCCGCTTTTTACGTCTCACCCAGCAGCATATGCGCGTATCGCTACACGCCAACCGACCGTGAACGCGTCCTGGGATTACTTCTCGCCCCTGATTGGTCGCGGCCGCCGAGCTGCATCCGCGTCCTGCGTTGTGATAGGCGGAGCGCGCTGTCAGTCCGCTGAAACCCGCCTCCCGCTGTGTGTGGTTGGATCCCTCCGCTCCCCTTTCTCTCGGCGGTGGGTCGGAGCCGCTGTCCCTGGCCTCGCATGTTCCCCTCTAAAACCTCTCTTCAACCCGATGCCCCTCTCCTACATTCTGCTCCATTCTCGGCCACACTCGGGCGTCTGAACACCGGTGTTTTTATTTAACCCCCCCCCCAAAATTCTCGGCGTTTAGACGACTTTAACCCCCCCCCACCCTCCACTGAACATGGCCGTGGTGAGCGGATCGTCTGGGCCGGTTGCCCGGCTCGAGGGCCGCGAATTCGAATACATGATGAAGAAGCGCTCGGTGACCATCGGCCGGAACTCGTCGCAGGGCTCCGTGGACGTGAGCATGGGCCACTCGAGCTTCATCTCGCGGCGGCACCTGGAGATCTTCACCGCCAGCGACGACGGCACCGGCAGCGGGGACTTCTACCTGCGGTGTCTCGGTAAAAACGGGGTGTTTGTAGACGGAGTGTTCCTCCGACGGGGCGCCCCTCCTCTGCAGCTACCGCGAATGTAAGTCTCCCCCCCTCCTGTCTCTCTCTTTATCTCCCCCCTGTCTCCCTCTGTGAACATGTGGGTGCTGCTTGGAGCCCAGCTGGAGGGGACAAACACCGGGGTTATGTCGGCCAGCAGGGTCGAGATGGGACCACGTGTTTTAGCATGTTAGCAAGAACTCCGCATCTAAGGGGGGGTGGTGCGGGGGGGTTATTGTTGATACTGACTGGTGGTAGTTTTTCTGTCACGTGGATGCTCGTTTGTGTGTGAGTTGTGCGTCTCGTGGTACTGTAAACATCGTGCCTTGTTGTCATGCAGGCACGTTAGCATGCTAGCCTCGCCGTGGTTGTGAATGGAGCTCCTCTCGACCCCTAAACGTAAACAAACCAGCCCGTCCCCGCCCTGCCGGTTCACCCAGCACAGAGCCTGCAGGGACCTCTGGCCTCCATTCAAGTGAGCCGAAGTCGTCCTAGCTGGTGTATTTCACCAGTGTTGTGCCAACATTGCCCATTAAAACCAGCATTTGAGCTTTATAGTTAATTTTAGGCTTAAATGAGTAGTTTATATCAGGAGTTTGGTTTAGCTCTCAGTGGAGTTTGTGAGTCTTGTGCAGGTTGCAGCATGCACTGTAGGATTGGAGATAATGTGCTGCTGTCTCAACAAACATTTATCTCTAGAACTATCTAACCCTGATCTGTGCTGTTACTCATGGGTTGTAAAACCTGGTGTGTGTGTGTGTGCTCAGGTAAACAACATGTGCTGCTTGGTTTTGGGTGTGAGCTATGCTTTTACTGCCTAATGCAGATAAAAATAAACAATAAGTTGGGTTCTAGCAGGATGTGGTTGTGCTGAGAGGATAATCTCATCAACAGAAAAGTAATCGCCAACCATTTTGATAACCGGGTAACCAGACTTCTTTGGGTTTTGGTTGGGAAACGATCTGAAACAGCTGAAACAATTCTATTAATCACTTAACTGAGAAGTTAATCTGCAACAGTTTGGCTAATCATTTCATCGTTCACGTCATTTATCAAACAAAAAAGTGAAACATTTGCAGCTTCCAGCTCCTCAAATGTGAAGACTCTCTACTTTTCTACTCATTGTCTCTCATTGCACATTGAATACCTTCAAGATTTGGACAAAACAACCAATTTGAAGATGTCAGTGTGGCCGGTGGGAACATGTAACTTACAGTTCTCAGATTAATCTACAGTGAAAATAATGGTTGGCTCCAGGGAGCCGGAACGAGACCGCGGGTCCAGAATAAAACAATCCAGGCTGTTTACATTTGAACCAGGCAGATTTATTTGGGGATTTTAGCAAGCCAAAAAAAGCTGCAGTTTATTCACTAAAGTGACTTGTAATGTAGACAAACCTACCAGCCTCTGCCAGCACTAGCCAGGCTTCCCACACTGCTCTCAGCTATTGTGCAATCCCTCAATGTGAAACCACTTTTTTTATACCGCACAAAGAAAGAGCTTGTTTTGACTTGAAGCAATTTCTGCACCACTAAACTGTTGTTGTTGTTTTTTTTTTTTCACAAAAATGTTTCCAGCAGCTGAACGTGTTTGTGTTATGGAGGTTGTTGGTTGAAATCATTTCTCCTCTCTCGTCACATTATGAATACAACAGTGTGTTTGCTGATGTAGGCCCAACGAGGAACAAGGAAGCAGCAGCAGTGCTTTCAGGTTACCTTATTGATCCGGCCGGTGGGCAATAAAGAGCTTTTAATTACTGCGCGTACGTCCAGAAGTAAGACAGCACCTAACTAGGAGCTCACGTGCTTTACTGTAATCTGCGAGCTGGAGGACGACCATTGCTGTCTGCAGCCAAAGAGTGACAGCATGAGAGAACTCGCAGAGCTGTGGCCCAGGGGACGGTCGGTTGTATTCCAGAGATTCCTCTTTGGTGATGTAAACAGACCCAACAGAAAGGAACAGCCTTCCCTCCCCCTTTCTCCCCCCCCCAACACCTCCCTGTCCTCTCCCACAACCGCAAATTCTCTCCAAGTCGGTGCTCTTCCTGTCTCGCTGTCTTCTTTTGTTTACATTCTTTTTTTGTTTCAGGCCGGGCGGGTGGGGGTGAAAATCAAGTGAAAGTTTTCAGCTGAACAAGCTCTGTTTGTTGCCGTCCTCGCAGCTTAGCAGCATAGCAACTGTGCGTTTTGTTTTTGGAGCTCGGGCCTCATTGTTCATACAGGAGCAAAATAGGGCTGATTTAAAAACGGGCTGCGATGAATGCGCGCTTTGAGGGGGGGGGCACTCGACAACGTGGACACAGTTTTCCATACAGAGCCCCACTCAGACAATTAACGATGTCTAATGGTGAATTAAAAGTGAGGCGTTAATGAAGCAGTTAGCTGTGGTGTGTTTACTCACTGTTTGGATCAGATGTTTCCTCTGAATCATGAAGCTTTTCTGACTGTCTTACTATTCAAGTCTCGGATGTGAAGTTTTCTATCATTGTGGATTGACTCTCTGGTTCTGAGCCGGTAACATGTAATTAAAGTGAAACAGCCAGTAGATGATTGGATAATGAAAATGCTGGTCAGTTGCACTTGTAATGGTAGTGGGGGATGTTAAGAGGTTTGACCCTCCTCCCAAAAATATACAAACATTTCGGCCTTGCACACACCAACTGAAATCTAATCTATTTAATCTCCAGTCAGTTCTTCCATCTGGTTTATTTATTATTTGACCCGTAGTTGCTGTCCTGTTCTGCAAACACGCTCATTTAGATTCTGATGAGACTGTTTGTGTTACAGACATAAGACGAGTGCTGCAACCAATGATTGTTTCTTTATATTTATTATTCTGTTTATCATTTTCTTGTTTAATCGATTAGTTGTTTGGTTGTTGTTGTTTCCCAATGTCCTGAAAAGTCTTCCATATCCAGTTTACTGTCACACCATCAAAAAACCGTCAAATATTCCCATGTGAGCAGCTGAAATAAGAGAAAATGACCTGAATCTTTATCAGAATTCAGCACTCATATGTTAGTGTTTTATAGCAGAGACTGACTACCTCCTGTGGGGAGACAGGCCAGCAACGCTAATATGGACTTTTATAAAAATAAAACGTCAACCTTTAGAGAAAAAGCAGACACCATTTTATACAACAAAGGCCATATAACTGAGTGGAGATTGAGGCCATCGTTTACTGACTAAAAGACACTGAGCTGATCTGGGTGGCCCCACCTCTGCTAAACGACATCCTTGGGGAAACCATGGAATATACATGGTGAGTGTTGAAGGGGAGGGGGTGCTGTCGTTGTTAAAAGTCCCTTAATGTGCAGAAATGTAGTCCCACATGCACAGTCTACACCTATAATATAGTGTATAGAGTCCTTCCTCTCTCGCTGACAGCCGAGCTCGATTGTGTTGTGACTAACATAAAGAGGTGCTCACTGACAGCCTGCTGAAGTACAGGGAAGAGCAGAAAGGAACAGGACTGTTTTTGATATTTTATTATTTCTGGATATATTTAGATACCGTTGTCCCCACTCTGTCAGTTACACACAGCCGCCAGATATTGAGAAAGGCTCTGATGTTATTTAAGGATCTACCACAACTTTGTCAGCTCCACAGAGAAGTCTCTATCCGTCCTGAAAGGGAGCTTGGAGGGCACATGCATAATGAAAGCGTCTACCCCTCAGCAGTCTGGCTCCAGGAAGTGTTTCAGGCTCGTCCTGTGAGTGGCAAAGCTAATTTGAGATGTAGGTGTCGGGGAAACGGTTCTCTCAGCAGATGCCAGCTCTGCGAGGGCCTGGCGAGAAACTGCACTGCCTTGCACTCTTTAACTAAATGAAAACCAATGTGTGCCGGCTCCGTCTCCAGGGTGTCAGGCAGCCTGATCCTGATGGTGATTTAGAAGAGTTCCTTCTATTCAGTGGCATTTCCCTCGACAGTTTCCTTTCATCCTTTGTACACGAACGTCTCCAGTAGACCAAAGATGAGCCTGTTTTTATCAAATCCAAATTGTAATTACAAGGAATCCACCTTAAAACATCCTCACTTTCTGTTGGCAACATCCTTGCATTCCTGAGTCCATTTTGTTGTTGTAGTTTTTTTTAAACTCCACTTCATATAAAATGGAGAAACGATGATGGGCCCATTTCAGCCATTTAAAAACATCAGTGGTTCAACATCATGTTTTTATGTCCGTTGAGTGTGTAACAATGCAGAGCTGTTGTATTAGACTGTACAGAGGTTCATGTATGTCACCTGTATAATTCCCACAGACTGTATAATTTAAAAATGGACAGTTTCTTTTAGGGCTGTACTATTAATCGCAATGTGGCCAAGTGCCATATCCAAAACGCCAGACGCTGCGATTGTTGATGAGGGTAAGACGTGTTTACTGTTTGGATGCTCAGACATACAGATCTCATTCTCCAGACAAGAAAATACTTGTCACATTATTGCAATTTTAATTGTGATTGCAAATCTGATCATTCCTGTAAATCTGTATCATATCACGATTGCAGTCCAAATAATTGCAATATGCTTTTTCTTTTTAACCATATCGTGCAGCCCCAGTCGAAATAACCGTGAAGCTCTGTGTGGTCAGCTCTGGCCGTTGCAATCTTGGCAGCCCCGACTCCGCCAGCTCTTTTTGGGGAGGGGTTGTCGGCTGCTGCTGAGTAATTCGAGTAATTTGGCGTTCGCCTTTTGAACAAATCTCGTTTGAATGAATGAGAGCTAACACGTAATTCAAGGTAATTAAAACGCCGCCCTCGTACCCTAGTCTTACACTGCACTGTAGAACTGACGGGGTTTGGCTCTGTTGTGGTGCCTCCGCTGCCTCACTGAGGCCCCCTTTTCCAACACATTAGTTCTGGTTCTTGAACCGGTTTCATCTGAGATTCTTGAACATTGGTGCTGTCTAGCAAACTAGCCCGCGTCACCAACAGAAGGCGCTGTACAATGCAACCTGTAGAATATGACGATGCGATTTGTTGGTTCCAGCAGAGAACCAACTTTTTTATTTTCCGAACCAATTTATTTCTGGTAGAAATGCCTGGAA